TAATATTATAAAATAATAATATATAAATTTTATTTATTTAATAATAATAAATATATATTATTTAATACATTAATGAAAATTATAATATATGTTAACTTGAATAGACAAATAATTATATAATTTTAAAATATTGTATATATATATATATTAAAATTATTAAATTTTTAACGGGAAAACTAAAATCGTACAATTGTAATATTTGAGAGACTAAAATTATTCAATTAAAAATTGAAAGACCAAAATCGCACAATTACAATCCTTTACAGATTAAAATTACCCAATTAAAATTTTATGGATCAAAATTACACAATTATAATACTTCAGACATAAAAAATACAATTAATCCTATTATAAATATATATAAATAAGACTTCAAAAGTTAAAAACACATAATTTGTAAGTCATTTTATTGAGGGGGCAAGCTGTAAACCACAATTTAATTAATAATTATAGTTTATTGACACATAATATCTTATATAAAAAAATAAAATATCTTCTATCCATGTTTATTAAATGAAACAAGCGTATATATACATTTGTAGTGTCATTGAAAGACATGATTTCAACATATTATGTCTATGTTTCTCTCTCTTAACAACTAGTACTAGTATTATTCAGTATGTTCTTAATAATTTTTTTAAAAATATTTTATTTGTAATTTTGTTATAATTACAAAAAAATAATAAATATTATGTATTTATATATCAATGATTAAAATTTATGAATTTAATATTTATATCATGATAAAATATTTATTAATTTAAATTAATATTAATATAATTTAATCTCTCTAAGAATAATATGAAGTTACTTATTTTTTTTACTGTGTTTGTTATAAAATTAGTAATTTAAAACTAAATTATAAAAAAAAACACTAAAGAGTAGGTAACATTTCAAACACATGAAATTGGAGGATAAAATAGTTTAAAATATGAAAAATATAGAAAAGTATTTTCATTATATATTGTTCTACATTATTATTCAATCTTTTCTAAATAATTTTCTAAAATTGTTTCATTTGGATGATTTTGTTGAAATTACAGGAAAATAATAAATATTATATATTTATATATCAATAATAAAAAAAATTAATTTAATATTCATATACTAAGTATAAATTTATTAATTTAATATTTATACATTTAGCCTCTGAAAGTACGAAGTTAAAAGACTAAACTGTGAGTAATTTAAAATTATATTGTATAAGAAATACATCCAGCCTCTGAAAGTACGAAGTTAAAAGACTAAAATGTGAATAATTTAAAATTATATTGTAATTTTTAGCTTTTTAATATCAAAAGACTAAAATAAGAGTAATTTAAAATTATATTGTATAAGAAATACATTCAGAAATTAAAAATTAATTTTAGATTTTTGAAAATTAAATTATACACAAACATATATTCTAAGTGCAACATCTTAAAATTGAATTTCATAAAATTCATAAAATCATAGGTAACACTGACTAAATTAAAAAAATAAAATTGAAGTAATTCAATACTTATTATTGAGTGTGTGAATTGACTGCTCAAAGTTGTTTCTGTAAAATATGTAGTAATATTAAATGTTTATAATATGACTTTGCTGCCTACAGTAATAAATTAAAAAAATCATGATTAAATTATGTTTTGATTGTTTATCTTATTTTTTAAATTTATTTTAGGTTTTTACTTGTTAAGATATTTATTTTGATTATTTATCTTTTTTAATTTCATTTGGTTTTTTTAAAATATAATATTTTTTAATTTTGTGACACAATTTTAAATAAATATTTAATTAATTTATGATATAAAATTTGTAACATTCAATTCAACTATATAAAAGTTATAAATTTAATTATGTTCAAATTTAAAAGACAATAAATATAGTAAAATTTGTGTGAAAAATGTCTTATAATCCATAAACAACTGAAAAATAATATGAAATTATATTTTTAAAATTTTAAATTTTTTTTTCATCTTATTTTTATGTAATTTTCATCGTGTATGTAACATTTTTTTATTTGAAATTCAGTTGCGTTCAATAATTTCATATAAGTAAATATAATAAAATAAATCTCAAGTCTTATATTAATAAAAAATGATAAAATTTATGACTCAAAATTGAAAATAATTATTATTTAAAAAATTAAATTAATTCAAATTTAAGTAATAAAATATTAAAATAAATATTTTAAAAGATAAAATAAAGAAACAAACATATAATTAAAAAAATCAACTTCAATAAAATAAAAATACACGATGTTATATAATATAAAAAATAATTCAAAATATTTTAAATAAAAAATAAATTTCAAGTATTTCTATAAATAATTGTTTG